TATATATTTGACCAAGTACTCCAGTTACCTTAGCTGCCTCCTTTAGTACGTAAGCAATATGTTCTTCAGACATGCGTCGTCCTTGCCGGTGTAGTGATGACACCAAGTCAGTGATTGGTCCGCCTTCACACAGCTGTAACATGTCAAATGTAAGGAGATGAAGGAAAGTATGCAGTAGCTTAGAATATTGTAGTAGACTAGGATACTGTGTACATTTATTTTTGTTCTAATTACGGTCTCAACTTCATTATAATACTATCAATCTGTTTACTTCTTTAGCGAAACTTATTGAAAATAACACTATTGTTTCTCTTCTATGATGTTTTAAATACAACTATGCGCCTCCTTGAACCTAAAGATGCATTCAAAGTAAATTTGCTCTATATAAGATAGGCTTTCTAAATAATATTACTCTATACAAAATAAAAATTAAAAATCTGTAACGTTCATACGTTTTGAGAAATGTGTATTGTACTATAGGTAATTCATTTTTCATTCACTAATTAATTTTTCGTGTATTGATTGGTGATAATTGTAATCGAGATAGCAGTAAAATTTACAACCTTAAACTATAGATTATGGACATAGCATTAACCATCCAAGATCATCGTCCTATCCCGGGTCGCCATTTTGACATGAATTGGAGATGGCCGCACGGGTGTGCCTGGCGGCCGCCGGGGCTCACCTCCATGACGAACCATAGCTGGTCGGGCTCCCGGCGCGTGGCCCCTCGCTTGAGGAAGGCGCCGTGCAGGTCGGGGAGGTTGGGGTGCGAGCACAGACGGCGCAGCACGGCGTACTCCTCGCGCACGTCCGCGGCCACGTTCAGCGTCAGCGTGATCACCTTGATGGCAACGCGCCGCCCCCCTGCACACACACACGCTGCTCACAGCTGCTGCCCAGGTGTCTCAGTTACAAGTAGGGCGCGGACTTTTAGGTGCTAAAAAAACCAAAAATATTTTTTATGTGTTGAAAATCTAACGTCTAATGGCCTTGACGAGTAACCTTTACGAGATTACCCGACTAATTTACAAGATTCATTTTAACATGACATCGAGAAAAGTTTGAAGCGTTAACATTAGTAAATGTTCTATTAGTTTATCATTGTTGTCCTCAGCCAGTGTCACAACACTGTTAATAATGGACTTTCCCGGCACACATGTGCGTTTGGTTATGATGCGACGACGACGACGATGATGGTGATGACTCTATTAGAATGAAGATGAAGTGCGTGCAAGAATATAGGCAGAGTAAATGGGAAAATCATGAAACAAACCCAGAGATCGAAAGATTGCTTCCTGGCCTTATTCTACAATCTTAAACCTCTTTCACATTGAACACAATAACGTACGTGGGACACAAAAACGCGATTGTAGTATGGCATGGCAGTATGACCGTACACTCATGACACACGATCATTTGAACGTATACACACTGAGATGACTAAGGTCATGGGATACCTCTTAATGTGTTAAACCTCTCTTCACCCGGCGAAGTGCAGCAACTAGACCTGACATGAACTCAACTAGTCATTGGAAGTCCCAGAAGAAATATTGAGCAATGCCTCTGTAGTCGTTCATAATTGCGAAAGTATTGCCAGTGCAGGATTTTGTGGAATAACTGAGCTCTTGATTATGTCCCAAAAATGTTCCAATGGGATTCATGTTCGGCGATCTGGATGGTGAACTTGTTGACAACTTGGATCCACGAGTTCATGGGGTCTGCGCCACATTCAAAGCCTCCCTTTAGCCCTTACCAATTGAAAAAGGGATTTATCTGACTAAGCCACAGTTTTATGGTCGTCAAAGGTTCAATCGATACGGTCATGAGCTCAGGAGAGGAGCTGAAGGAGATGTCGTGCTGTTAGCAAAGGCACACGAGTCGGTCTTGTGCTGCCATAGCCCATTAGAGCCAAATTTAGACGCATTATTCTAACGGATACGTGGTACATTAATTTCTGTGGTCATTTCTCGCAGTGTGGCTTATCTGTTAGCACTGACAACTCTACGCAAACGCCGATGTTGTCGGCCATTAGGCGAAGGCCGTCGGCTACTGCGTTGACCGTGGAGGGAGGTTATGCTTGGACTTAGGTGTTCTTGGTACACTTGACACTGTGGATCTCCAAATGTTGAATTCCCTCAATATTTCCGAAGTGGAATGTTCCATGCATCTAACTAACTATTCTGCGCTCAGAGTCTGTTAACTTCCGTCAATCAGCAGTAAAAAGGCCAGAAACCTTTTCATACGAATCATTTGAGTACAAATAAAAGTTCTGCCAATGCACTGACCTTTTATACCTCTTGTACGCGTTACTGTTCTATCTGTATATTTGCATATTACCATCCCATGACCTTTGTCACTTCAATGTACTTATGACAGCACACTCAAAATGCAAAACCAAAATAGAAAATCACGTATCAGTTCGGTTTCTCTTTGAAATTATAAATATTAGGAAGTGAAAGTGAAATTAAATATATACGATGTCGATAATTCTGTGGAATGTTTTACGAAAGGTAACGCTGAACTTAATACTGCTTTAGCTTCTGTTTGACTTGCAAATTACAAATACATTGTTCTGAAGACTATTTTTCTTAGCATACGAAGTTTTATAGAAAAATAATATATTGTTAATTTTTGCATTCATTGAATGTAAATTTTAAAATTTGCATTCACACAGTCCTAGGGAATTTAAATCCGATTCTTGTTACGCATTTAGGCGATTTAAATTTCGACGATTGTGGTTCAGCAGCGGACGTTTAAATATTACTATTCTATACAGTACAAGCGTAATCTCTACGAATAAAAACCTTGTCAGGTCCTAAGGAATTAAAAAGAATAGCAGTTCGTAGGTAAGCTGTTTATTCAGTGATTTAAAATTGTTACTTGCAAGAAACGTACTATTTGTGCCTATCTTTTCAAGTTCACACGGTATTCTCACAACATTTAAACATGATACGAATGAGTTCAATTAGTGGCGAGGGACCCCTCCTGGGCTGCGTCGATTATGAATGTTTTCAATTTTTGAATGTTTGGATTTGAATGTTAAGTCTTCATTTCAATTTTGGATGTTTAAATATTGCTGAATTCTACAAATCTGAGAACTATGAAACATAATTGGTTTTTTAATAGGTTTTGATCAGGTTGGATACTATAAACAGTATAATGAGGAATTTGAAATTGACACTAGTTTGAAATGTGATGGTTTTTCTGTTATTAATTCTATCTCTCGAGATACGAAATAATGCGGATTCTCACTACGTTTGCCCGATGTATGACCCGGTTAAGTTCAATTGGTGGCGAGGTACTCGCCCTGGGCTACTTCACCCATCAATTATACATTTGACGTTCAAATATTTTAGTATTTCACCATCACCTAATCACTTTGAAACGAGAATACACATATTATCATGTTTTGAGGAATTGAAGAAATAGCATTGGTAGCAATTATTTTATTCAGCCATTTGGAACTGACAGTTTCCTGAAACGTTGGGCCAGTGTTTATTTCAATCCCTCAAGACGTGAAAAAAGCATATTCTCGCAGACGTGCCGAAGGGGCTGAAGCGGTACTCGCCCTGCGCTGCGTCGGTCGCCTGGAAGACCTCGCTGTAGACGCCCGAGCCGAGGCGCTCGCCCAGCTGGAAGCGCTCGCCGGGGTCGGGCAGCGCCTCGATGCGGAGCGTCTCCGGGAGCTCGTCCGCCGCCATGGCGTCGCCCCGCCGCGCCACCCGCAAGCGCCCTCCGGCTCCGCCTCCACAGACAGCAGGTCGCCGATGGCTGCCTGCAGTCGCCGCTGCTGCTGGCCGTTCGCTCGCCGCCGTTCGCCGCGCACTGAGCGACGCGCGGGGCCGCCGACGACGCCGGCCTGAAGCCCCCCAAGCCCCCCAGCCCGCGCGCCGCGACACGGCCCTCTGAGCCCCGGCGGCCCGCCTTGTGGGATTTCGCTCTGGGACTCACAGATTGAAGGATGCAGTGGCCTTGATTCGACAACTCCGCTCAGGCACCCGTTTGCTCGGGAACGCTTTTTACCGTAAACATCAAAGGGGACTCAGAGAATCATTTGACGCCTTTAAACGGGAGGTCTTAGAATTCGAATCAAGATTTTCAGCTCTAGCTTGGCAGCTGGGTCAAATTCACCCGCTATCTTGAGGAATATTCTAATGTCTGGCTGCTCTGATCAGTAGTTTTCAGTGGTTTCTCCGATGAATACCAGACGAATGCTGGAGCAGTGCCCTAACAAACGGGTCATGGACATGTGCGATCTTTCTTTCCTCTTCCTTGTTCTATCCTCACACATACATACACACTCACTCGCACTATATTACCACGCTTGTTGGAAGACCAGTCGGGAGCTTAAAGCTTATCCAGGATGGGTGGTGGCACGCTGGTGGGAGATACCTGGTTGGGGAAAATCTCCGCAAGCCGACGTATGTTTGCGCCAGATCTCGCCATCCTGCGAGTAAATACCATCCTCAATTTCTGTGCTAAAAATCCATTACACGTACGGGACATGAGTTTAACAGTTGGCGCACCCGGAATCACGAATCAATACGAACGAAACCCTAATTATCTATTAGACAGGAAAAGGAGAGAATTATATCTGTACTGTACGCCCTCCATATTAGGACTCATTTCGCTCTGGCTTACCCCATCCTCCTTGACCTTGTCCTCCCCTGACCCTCGTCTCGCCTTACTCCGCCTCCTCCTACCTCGCGTGACCCCATCCAACAATCCTCCGTCCTGGCCATCCTCGCCCCGACAATTTCCTTCCCACCTCGTCCTTCCTTACCTGGTCTCACTCCTCCTTGTCCTTCCCCCTCATGCTTACTGAGATCATAGTTGCTACGGGGTTCTGTAAACATTAGATGTATGTATTATCCTGGCAAATACATTTTTTACCTCCTGACAAATACTGATACCAGTTAAATGATCGTGACCGAAGACTCAATATTTCTCACATCCAACCTCATATTCTTTGTTTCACTACACCGCCTTAATGTCACATTGATAATTTTGTTTTACCAAAGGTCAGTTGGTGTTCAATGTCATTAAAAAAATTCCGTATTGTTTAGCTTAATAGTTTAAACGTTATCTTTCAAATGCTTTTTTCTATATATTTTTGTAATTTAAACTATTATCCCATTGAGATTTTCATTTATTTTCCATTGAATCATTAAACAAATGATCAGGTGATCTATTTTTTACTTCTGAATATTTAAATCCGCTTATATAACCTTCTAAATATTAAATAAACTCCTTATCATTTTGCATTAATAAATAAATTTATAGATACAAAAATAAGTACAAACATTGTTCATGACTACTAATATTTTCATACATAAATAAGAAAATCTGTTCATTATTTTTTACGACGGGCAAGTAAATAATTCACTGATATACACTATAACACTCGTCAATTTATTGAGCATACATTTTTATTGAAGATCATTATAATAACAGCGAAGTTTCGGTGCTTCATCAGAAACTTTTGCTGAGGTAGACAATAAAAACATTTACAATAAAATATATTACATTTACAAAACAGATCGAGTTAAGCGGCATAAAAATCAAGTACTCATCTTAAAAGATTTGCATGGAAGGAATCACAACACTTGAAATCAAGCTAAGACGATGTAAAGTGCTGTAATTACAGGCACTGTGGCGAGCGCTCGCAGGTTCTCCAGTGCACTTGAGCTCTCGCATTGCGGCCTTGCTCGTAGGCTGCAAGATCGTATTACAAAACCGAACATCGTTGTCGTGATGACTTTCAAACGCAAAGGCGCATTGAAGTCCTCGTTTCCACTAATTATAGCTGGACGAACATGATCATCTGTTTTACGCGATCAAGAGATCAAAGTGACCTAGATAAGTTCACAGATACGGGACAATGTGATTAATTCATTGTTGTATTTTTTAAATATTTTATTGTATTGAAATTTTTTGTATTTAAAACATAAAAAATGACAATGAACATTAATTTTCTTATCAATTTGTAGCAAAAGTAATTATTTAATGGATATTGCAAAAATTTCGCATTTGTCACTGAATAATAAATTTCGTTTCAAATTCATTTTGTCGCGAAAAATGTGTAAAAACTATATTCTTAATCCCAATCATACAATTCGTCCACATAACAAACAAAATATCTATTGCGGCTTTTACCGTTAATGCGAAAACCCCACGCCATTATTTGCTTAATTAGCTACCTGACCTCATAAAGCCCTCCCTTCCCCACATTTAGAAAGTAACTAGTAGCGCGGTGGCGTCAAACAACTCTTTTTTTAAAATATATATTTATTAATGGACGAATGTACATAGTTCAGTATTATTTATACTACATCATATGTATTTTCGGACTTATATTTAACTTAAATGCTAATCTTACAACTAAATCTAACATGAATAGGAAACTCACAGAGCACCTATGTGATTAATTGAGTTCTGAAAATATGCTGCGGAATCAATCTATTCGGTATCTATTTTTAATTCCATTTGGGAGCTGGTAGGTGCTGGCTAGGTAATAATGGGTGGCTTGGGTTATTGTGTTTATTTTGGAGAATAAATTGTTAGATAGGAGCGCAATATGGTAAACTATAGGAGGTATATTAAATTATTTGTGCAGTTGCATGTTTGAGATGAACCAGGGTGCATGAGTGGCTAGTCTGAGGAAATGATTTCGGTTGATTTGTATTTTATTGATGTTTGTTTTAGAGGCGTTGACCCAGATGTTGCATGCATAATGCATTAGAGGTCTAATTATTGATTTATAGATGGTGATGGCATTGTTTAATGAGAGCTTACTATTGCGATTTAAGATTAAGTTAATTATTTAAGTTAATTATCATATTGTTTAAGAGGGCTACGGCTTGTTCTATTGCTAAGGGAGTTTTTAATATTTTAAAGTGGGGTGATTGTTTTTGAATTATGTTCTTAAATTTTTTCCAGTGGATGTTTTTTGTGTTAAGAGTGAGAGTTGGTGTGTGAGGGGGGTGATTTTTTGAGTTGAGATGATGGTTGGCAGATGGTCTGAGTCTAGTTCAAAGAGGGGAACAGAGTAAAAAATAGTTTAGAAATTGCAATGACTAATATATCTGGGTGTTTATTATGATCTGTGGGGAAGTGAGTGGGTTCTGCTGGCATAATTAACTGAAGTTTGATGTCTGTAATTATTTTTCTGAGTTGGTGTTCTGCAGTATTGGCATGTCTGTATCCCCACATGATGTTTTAGCATTAAGGTCCCCTATCAGAAGAGTGGGCAAATTCATCTGGAATAGCAAAGAAATAATCGAATCAGAAATTTTTATTTTCTGAAGATTTTGTGCCGCTATTAGGTTTATTAATCCATTATTTCTAGGGAATTTAATGGCTATAGTTTCGAGATCTGGAGTGTGTGGAAGGTTGACTTTAATAAATAGTAAGGGGTTTTCTATTAGTATTAGTACACCACCTCCGTCTGCATTTGACCTGTTGGTTCTGACTACACTATAACCTGTTATGTTAAATGTAATATCTGATTTTAAATGCGTTTCCGTTATGCAGGCTATATTTATTTTGTTAACTTTTAGAAAATAAGTTAGTTCTAATTTTTTATTATTGATGCCATTCGCATTCCAGTTAAGCAGATTTATATTACTTTTATGACACAGTTGCATTATTGTTAAAATAGGCTGAGAGAGAGGCTTGTGAGTTGCTGACTATTGTTGGGATGATATTATTAATAATATTGACTAAGAAGTAGGTAATTGAGTTAATAATGAAATGAATACAAGAGTTATTATTAGAATTATTCATAAGAGGAGGCTGTATGGATGGGTTATTGTTAGATTGGTTGATTTGATTTGTATTTTGGGGAGGGTTTGGCGCAAATGTGAAATTTGGAATATTGTTAACAGTGGGGAAAAACGGAAAGTTTTGTGAGATACGTCTTGGGGAGGGATTGTTTCTTAATCTATTTTTATTATTGCCTGATTTGGGGTTATTTGAGGGGGCGTCAATTTGTTTTTTATAATATGAGAATTCTATTGATCTTAAATCAGCTCTGTGCAATCCATTGCAATTTTTACAGATTGCAGGTAAGTCTTTTTGAGGGCAATTAGCAGAATAAGGGATCCTTTGAAGGGAGAACAGGATTCCTTGTACAGAAAACACACGCGATTGAATTGTTACAATTATTCTTCGTGTGTCCAGAGTCCAAGCACCGCATACAGTATACTGATCCTTTTGGCCTTCTTCTTTCTGGCTTAAAACTAATGTTACAGATCTGATTAATTTGTAGCACTTGTTCGATACTTTGACTACCGTTGAATTCTGCTGTAAATACTGGAAGTTTTG